ATAGATGATCTCCTCAAGCTCTTGTGAAATTGATTTCACAAAATCAAACTCTTAATTGCTTAAAAGCTTCTTAAACAAACTTAAACCAAAACTTAAAACCATTGTTAAAAATTTCTTAAACTTGTTTAAAACACTCTCATGATGTATGAAATGATAAATACAATGGTATATATAAGGTAGAAGAAAACAAACCCAAAAACCCTAAAAAACCACTAAAAGATAAAATTCAGCAAGTTGTCGTTACTGTGCAACGGTAACATTGACGGTCGACCACGAGAAGCAAAGCTGCAAAACTGCTCTCTAGACTACAGATGGTTGACTGTGGTGATCGATCACACTGTAGCATGGTCGACTGTAGCGGTCGACCGTGAAAACTGACAGTTTCTGAAATCTGGAAATCTGCGTATCTGGCTTTGTAAAATCAATTAAAAATAGTAAATCAACTCCAAAAATCATGAAATTTTGAGAAAGTTTTATAAATATATATATATATAAACATGTTAGAGAAATAATTTTTGAAATATAACTTCCTATTTGTGAGAAATAATTGTTTGAACACAGATATACAATTTCTGAAAAATTGCTGAAACTCGTTTTTGTAAATTCAATTGAAAATAACAAAACAACTCCAAAATTAGTAAAACTTAGGAAAATGTTTATATATATGAAGATAAACATGTAAATGAAGAAAATTTTCAAATTATATTTCCCAATTGTGAAAACTCATCTATTTTGTAAAAAACATGCACGAATATGTGCATGAACATGAACTTATTTAAAACTTAATTTTGTAAATTCAATTAAACATGACAAATTAATTCCAAAATTGATAAAACTTTGTAAAACATTTATAAATATGAAATTGAATATGTTAGAAAAATAATTTCTCAAATTGAATTTCCCATTTGTGAAAACTCATGTATTTTGTAAAACTTATAAATACATGTGTACATAAACTTCTTGGTTTTTGACTATTGAGTTAAACAATGTTTTGAAACCTTATAAAATGATTTTATAGATTTAATAAAATATGTATATAATGGTTGTTAAGTCCAAAAGCCAATAACTCAATATTTTATCAAAATTACTCAAAATCAAGAATTGTGTGTATGTGTGATATAGAGCTCAAAGTATTAACACACATGTATAAACCATAAACTAATTTACCCAAGCTATCTTGATCTTCAATTAAGCTCGTCTTGGTAAACTTACGGATGAAATTTGAACTTGGATCTTTAACTTTAATTGTATTGACTTCATACCGATATTCCGCCAACCTCCATTAGATACGATCGTTGATGTTTGATTCCATCCATCCTCCGACACGTTGTTTGTCTACAATAAATAAGAAAACAAAAATACTAGACATGCAATATTAGTGGTAAATTATTTGTTAAACATCATCAAAACAAAGAGGCTAATGGTTAAGTCTAATTTAATTCCTTTTAAGTTTAATTTAAACTATGTTATGTCTAATTCAACTTGTTTTAAGTCTAAAAACAAGTTGAATTAGACTTAACATGAATCATGTTAAGTCTAATTTAAATTGTTTTAACTCTAATTTAATATTAAGTCTAATTTGATTCATGTTAAGTTCGGTTTGATTCATGTTAAGTCTAATTTAATTCCTTTTAAGTCTAATTTAAATCATATTATGTCTAATTCAACTTATTTTAAGTCTAAAAATAAGTTGAATTAGGCTTAACATGAATCATGTTAAGTCTATGTCAACTTATTTTAAGTCTAATTCCATGTTAAATCTAATCCGCCTCATGTTAAGTTCAATTCGCCTCATATTAAGTCCAATTCGGTTCATGTTATTTCCAATTTGGTTCATGTTAAGTCGAATTTGGTTCATGTTAAGTCCAATTCGATTTATGTTAAGTCCAATTCGGTTCATGTTATGTCTAATTTGGTTCATATTAAGTCTAATTTAAATCATGTTAAGTCCAATTCAAGTTGTTTTAAGTCTAATTTCATGTCAAGTCCAATTTAATTTATGTTATGTCTAATTTAATTCATTTTAAGTCTAATTTAAATTATGTTATGTCTAATTCAACTTGTTTTAAGTTTAAAAACAAGTTGAATTAGGCTTAACATGAATCATGTTAAGTCTATTTCAACTTATTTTAAGTCTAATTTCAAGTTAAGTCTAATTTGATTCATGTTACGTCTAATTTAATTCATTTTAGGAAAAATTGCTTCTAGGCCCCAAAATTCAAGTTTTAATGTGCCCCAGCCCCTCACATTTTTTAATGTGCTGCAACACCTATTTTTTTTGAAAAAACTGTATTTAGGACCCTCCATCATGATTTTAGCTCATGATTAGACATGTCAGCTCATGATTAGATATGTCAGCTCCTAAAATCCTAATTTTACCCTTTCTTTTTCTCATGCCAGCTCATCCCAGCTCATGTTAACTGTTATAGATAACATATTAACTATTATAACTTCATAAATATGTTTTAAGCTCAATGTGTGAACTGTAATAGTTAACATGTTATCTATAATAGTTAACATGTTACCTATAATAGTTAACATGTTACCTATAATAATTAACATGAGACACGAAGTTCCTCGAGACGGCGCTAGCGACGGAGCAGGGGAGGGAGGTGGGGGAGGGGGACCGGAGGAGGAGGAGGGAGGTGTAGGGGGGAGGGTAAAATCAAAATTTTGGAGGAGGTTGCATTGGAACTTGGAGAGAGGGGCCTGAACACAATTTTTTCAAATTATAGGGGTTGAAGCATGTTGGGGGAAGTTGCGGGGTAGGGGGTGGGGGCGGGGGCACATTGAAACTTGAATTTTGAGACCTTGAACCAATTTTTCTTTCCTTTTAAATCTAATTTCAATCATATTAAATTCCTTTTAAGTCTAATTTCAATCACTTAAGTCTAATTCAACTTGTTTTAAGTTTAATTTCATGTTAAGTTCAATTTAACTAGATTCAAAACAAGATGAATTAGACTTAAAAAGAATTAAATTAGACTTAACATGAACCAAATTGGACTTAATATGAACCAAATTATACTTAACATGAATCAAATTGGACTTAATATGAAATTAGACTTAAAACAAGTTGAATTAGACTTAACATGATTCATGTTAAGTCTAATTCAACTTATTTTTAGACTTAAAATAAGTTAAATTAGACATAACATGGTCTAAATTAAATTTAAAACAAATTGAATTAGACTTAACATGATTTAAATTGGACCCGAATTGGACTTAACATGAACCGAATTGGACTTAACATGAGCCGAATTGAACTTAATTAACATGAACCAAACTAGACTTAACATGAATCAAATTGGACTTAACATATAATCCATTACACTTAATATTCAACAAATTAGACTTATTATTCAACCCAATAGACTTAACATACAATCCTTTGGACTTATTATTCAACCCAGTAGACTTAGCATACAAGCACTTGAACTTCACTTCCAACCCATTAGACTTAATGTTTCACCTTGGATTTGAACTTAACATCAAAAATTGTCAAAAAAAAAAAAAATCATATTTACCCGGTATTTCTTTAAAATTTTATCTTTCCATGATGTTCAAACAAAAATTACAAATTTTATTAGACTTAGCATACGAGCTTCTCATCATCCTCCTCCAACACCGTCTCCTGCGCCTCGTTCTTCATCTTCAGTGTTAGAGACCGATATGTTGTTTGATGGATCTTCTGACGAGAACTTCGACGAATTCGAGGGTTTCACCATTACCATTGCCATTCCCGACCAAATTTGGGCTTGTTTTGCTTTTGGGGGGAAAAGAAAGAGAGAGCGGGGAAAATTAATGGGATATATTGAGTTTTTTCTATGTAATATATACCCCCAGATCAACAATGTGACCGGAGCATGCACCTACGTACGTTCGGTGGTGGCGGAGGGGGATGTCGATGTCTGAGAGAAAAAGGAGGAAGAGGGGGAGAGGAGGAAGGAGATGAGTTAGAAAAGAGGAGGAATGAGGAGCCACGTCCATTAGATTTAGAAAGAAAAGAATGGAAGAGATAAAAGCATTTTGGGATTTTTTATTTTTATTTTCTCTGTATGCTTAGTTGGCAGTGAATAATTGCTAAAGGAGGGCTGCAGCATATAGATTTCTAATTTAAAGGCTGCAACACATGAAAAAAAGTTAGAGGGGCTACAACACATGAATTTATTACTTTTAGGGCATTGACATAACTTTTCCTTATAATTTACAAGATAAGACTACGACAAATACCTTTTTTCCCCCAAAAAAACATTGGTTAGTTTTATCAAGAATAAGTAATGTTAACCTAAGTAATGTAGTTGTACTCTTGCTTGAAACACAATGTCATCAATATAATGCAAAACATTTATTTAAAGGGGTAAAGGGTTAACTCTCAATAGACCCATTATAGATCTATTTGTTGCTAATAAATTACGTATAATATTGGCCCGAGTGCAAACACCAGAGTGATCTTTTCTGAACTTTAAACAAAAATATAAAAAAAAAGCGACTGGGGTCGATCCTTGCAAGTAGAAAGAATTCACTCAAGAGTTATATTAGTAACCGGGTGATGCTGAGGGGTTTTTTTCACATTTAATATTTATTTAAAAGTAAAATAATTTTTATTCTAAGATATGGCATGTTGAACGCTTAGACTTGTTAATTTAAGGAGGCCGTGAGTTAAACAACATCTAAAAATCTTCAAAAAAAAAAAAGGTTTATGTAGAAATTATGAACATCTTCGTCTAAAATGGTCTTGAAAAAAAAAAAATGTGCAGTGCTAATTTTTTCAGTGATCAGTATATCGTAACTTATTTCCGCAAATGCTGGAGATGAGATGGTTTTTATGCAAATATCTCCCGACACATAAAAAAAGTCAAACTTCTTCCAAGTCAGATAAATAATCAAGTAAATAAGAATTAAATAGTAGAGTAAAAAGATTCCATAAAATAACAGCTTTCTTTTTCCAAATTTAAATCCCTACTCTGTTAATAACAGTCCAAATCTCTCCACTTCCCTCTTGCATCAATCATCATAACTAACAACTTCTCTCCGCTCTTTACAAAGTGGCAGTCACTGTGCAAACCCTACGCTCTCTCTCTCTCTCTCTTTAAAATCTCTCACCAAACTCTCTCCCTCTCTCTCTCTCTCTCTAAAACTTTCTCTCTCTAGAACAGCAATGTCGTCCTTCGTCGGCGTCCTCGTCTCCGATCCCTGGCTCCAGAACCAGTTCACCCAAGTCGAACTCCGCCAGCTCAAATCTCAGGTACAAGCCTAAAGTTCACATTTTTAACCCTAAATCTTTCTCATCGTTCACAAATCGCCCCATCGCTCACTCTCTCTCTCTACTCAGTTCCTCTCCATTACGAAAGATTACAATGCCAAATCTCCACTCAAGCTCAGAGATCTCTCCGACCACGTGTCCGCCCTCAAGATCGCCGACGAGGACATCACGTCCTTCCCATCTCGACGAGCTCTCCACTTGCGAGCTCTCCTCGGGTTCGGTCTCATTCCCCCCCCCCCCGCTCTCTCTGTCTCCTCACTTTCTGAAAATTTACGATTTTACCACTGTTGCAGGTCTATTTGAAGATGCAAGGGCGAGTCGGAGGAGGAAAGGGATCGTCTTCATCGGATTTCTTGAAGGCGGCGACCACGATGCTTCTGCATACGATCAGTGAATCTGAGAAGGCTGCTTACGTGGCACACATCAATAGCTATTTGGGAGGAGATGGGTTCTTGAAGAAGTACTTGCCCATTGATCCGCTTACTGATGGTCTGTTCGAGATCGCGAAGGGGGGGGTTCTTTTGTGGTGAGGTTTTTTTTTTTTTTTTTTTTTTTGGGTTTTGGTTATTGTGATTGTTGATTTGCGTTTTTGTGATCTGAAGTAAGCTTATTAATGTGGCTGTCCCGGGGACGATTGATGAGCGGGCGATCAATACAAAGAGAGTGTTGAATCCTTGGGAGAAGAATGAGAATCATACTTTGTGTTTGAATTCAGCGAAGGCAATCGGGTGTACTGTGGTTAATATTGGGACACAGGATCTTGCTGAAGGGAGAGTGAGTATTGTTTTGGTTGAAAATTGTTGGTTGATGCTTTGTTAAATGTGAGTAATTTAATTACTAAAATCAGAGAAAGTATATCCAAAGGTTCACCAAGTAGCATTATTTTAGGAGGTATAATCATTTCTCTGTTTAAATTCTAATCACAACCTGAGTTGTGCAGTGATATGATGTTCACTATGTTATATAAGATGTCATATTTCCTGGGGGAACCTATTGTTTCATCTTAATTGTGTTATGTATGGGAAATTTGAAGGTGTATATCATCTTGCTATATGCTTCAAAAAATAACTTATTTGGACTTGGCACATATATGGAATAAATACTACACTTTTGTCAAGACTAACATTCTTCTGGTTTATGCTTTCAGCCTCATCTTGTGCTTGGGTTGATATCTCAAATCATTAAGGTATGCTTATATGCTTTTCACGACTACAGGAGCAGATTATTCTGGCCATTACCATATCTTTTTCCTTATAGAATCTGGATTAAAATTACTAACTCCATTTCTTCCTCTTTCAGATTCAACTTCTGGCAGATGTTAACCTGAAGAAAACGCCACAACTAGTTGAGTTGGTTGGAGATGGCAAGGTTGGTCAATTTTCCCTTTGATACTCATTGCATGCACTTTTGAAACTTCAAAATGTGATTCTTAAAGTTCTATCACGTGAGCATCCTATATGTGTGCTTTGCTAAAATCTTTTTGATCTGCAGGATGTTGAGGAGCTGCTGAGTCTACCACCTGAAAAGATTTTACTTCGATGGATGAACTTTCAGCTAAAGAAAGGTAGCTTTAAGAGAACTGTGACAAATTTCTCATCAGATGTGAAGGTGCGTCTATAAAATAAGCTATCAAGATGCTTATGTATTTCTATTAGTAATTTGTCTTAAACCTGCATTATAGGCCTAATGTTATTTCTTCCATAATGAAATTCTATTTCTTCGAGTTACCTGCTGATATTTTGTCGAGGACAAAATTGGCAAAACCAAAATTCTTCATTAGCAATGAAGAAGCTGCAGCCGAAGAAAAGGATTAAGTAGTGGAGTTATCTATATTCACAAATGATGTGGAATCTGGCGTTACAGGAAAACACCACTTTGCATCTTCTTTAAGTGCACAAAATCAAATAAAACTGTATATTGCTTGTATTCATTATGCTTCTTTGGAAGTTGAAAGTATTGACACTGAACGCAATATCATGTGTGCAATGAACTTTATGTGGTGCCACCAGCTGTAGATGATGAAGATGGGGTGCACAATTCCCTTAAACTTCGTCTAGACATACGTCTTCTGCAGATAAAGTTTAAGGTAGCTCACAGAATGACTAATAATTGTGGTAAGTTATGTCGTAATGATACTATCTACACACATATACACCCATTCATTCATCTCTTATGACAAGTTGATGGCTATCCAAGAGCTTTTCCTCTTGAAGAAAAAAGAAACGAAAATTTTCCGTTCAAGAGATGATGATTGAATTGAAGTATGCTTTTATCTTCTTCTAACTTTAGTTTAGACTTCAAATTCTATAATGAATCCTGTATTCTCTTCTCCTAGCTGTTATAAGTGAAGAGAGAACAGAAGGTTGGGAGAAAACTCCTTCCACGCTGTATTGAGGCAATATAAGCTAATGTATGTACACATTATAGAAGTATTACAAGGTTAGGTCACGTGATGTACAAATAACATTCCTAATAATAAATCTTAGTAGCTGCTTACAATGACTAAATGCACCTATTCTTAAGCTAAATTTATATTTAGTTTTATTTGTCTTTTTATGCTAGTTTATTGCTGTAACTAACACAATCTTCTATCTGGGCTCCACATTGCTAACTCATGGAAATATTATACATACTGATTGGACACTCTTCTTGCTGCAGGACGCCGAGGCATACACTTATCTGCTAAATGTTCTGGCACCTGAGCATAGCGACAAGCAATCTGCAAAAACTGTCACCAATCCTCTTCAAAGAGCCGGATTGGTTCTTGAACATGCAGATAGAATGGGCTGCAGAAGATATTTGACCCCAAAGGACATTGTTGATGGTTCACCAAATTTAAATCTTGCTTTTGTTGCACATATTTTTCAGAAAAGGTAAAATATAGTACCTCAGACTGTCAATTATTTCCAGTACTTAAATACAATATTATTCAAAGGCTAGTATTACCTTTGGTGAATATATATTTAGAGACATTAAAAACTGCATTAGCCCCTGTTAGCAATGAAACCTAAGTTTTAGCAGTTGTAATGCACCCAAAATCTTGACATGGTTATCTGATCATCTATTAGCTTTCAACTCTCTCTCTCTCTCTCTCTCTCTCTCTCCCCCCCCCCCTCTCTCTCTCTCTCTCTCGCCTGCTCTTAACTGCACACTGCACAGATGGGCAATATGGATTAAACACAATCTTTGGCTTAGACTTACTATAATTATTTGGATCAACTTGGCTGCCTCCTGGAGTGGATGCTACTTTATGTATGTTCATCTATATAGTTCTTCGTATTAAGAAATAACATTGTGAAGCTATTAAATAGCATAATGATTTGGAACTCTACTCGCAGAACAGTGCCTGGTCCATTTATTTAAGTATAGTAGTTATCACTTTTTCTCATGTAGCTTAAGCTAGTTCTTTAGTTACAATCACAGGAGTTCGAGCCTGTGGACGGTTAAAATATACTTTCTCTTAGACCAATGCTCAGTCTTGAGTCCAAGAAGTGAGCACCTATGGGTTAAACCCTTTAGTTGGGCTCAAGCATCAGCATATGGTAGGCTACAACGAAGTTCATGTTGGATGTGACATGGGTGGGGGCCATGAGCTAGAGAACCATGTGAAGTTCCCACGCGGTTTCGTTTCCGCAGCGGAACTGGCCCACCCGACTTATGAATTCGTGCTTATAAATGCACGCGAAAATTAAAACCCTAGGACTTGGTGCAGGAGCTAGGGGTTAATTGGCGGCTGTCTTCATTGGCGGTGCAAAAGAGGAGTGCAAAGGGGCAGAGAGCAGAAGAGCATTGGCGGCCGTGCAGGTGTTCGAAAGGGTTCTCGGCTGTGGGTTTTTTCTGCTGTAGCAAAGAATTTCAAGAGGAGTTTTCTTTGTAATCCTTTTGTGCTTTTGTGAGAGATTAGAGAGTTAGTTTGAGGGTTTAGTTCGTGGGATTGTAAACCTTTTGTATTCTCTCTCTAATAGTAGATCCCTCCTCCTTGCCCCGTGGACGTAGGCAGTTTGCCGAACCACGTAAAATTGGTTGTTTGAGTTTGTGGCCATTGTAATAGTTTTTAGGATCTCTCGACAGGTCAGTCCTAGAACTGATGAGAGGAAGAGCCGATATCTCACTTGGTTGAGATATCCGCTTCAGATTCTTGTTTCCTTGGTGAGACGGGAATTCTTATCGATCTTTCTCTATTATTGTGCATCAGAAACTCTGTCGAAATTTTTGCTGCGCACAACAAGTGGTATCAGAGCCAGGTTCCAGATCTAGGGTTTGGTTTGAGGAGTAGATCAATTTGGAGGCTCGTTTAGGGCTTCGTTGGTGATAAAGGTGGGATCTTTTGGTAAAGACTATCTTTTTAGTTTTGGATCTATTCTTCGTTCGTTGGTGCGTAAGATGTCGGGGAAAGAAGGTGCTTCGGGTGTCGAGGGTGGTGCTTCTGGCGGGAAGACCATTCAGAGTTTGAATATCCACTCTATGAAGATAGATGTGGAGAAATTTAATGGCACAAACAACTTTGGATTATGGAGATGCGAGGTTTTGGATGCGCTGAACGCGCAGAATTTGGAGGATACATTGGAGTTAGATGGCAAGCCAGATGAGATTGAAGAGAAGGTTTGGAAAAAGATGAATCGAACGGCGTGTGGTGTGATTAGGTCTTGTTTGACTCAAGATCTAAAATATGATGTGATGAATGAGACTTCTGCGAAGAAGATTTGGGAGATTCTCGAAAGCAAGTATTTGACCAAGAGTGTGGAAAATCGCTTGCATTTGAAGAGGAGACTTTATCGTTTCCAGTTGAAGAAGGGAACCTCCATTAGAGATCACATGAACCACTACACAAAGCTTCTTGCGGATTTGGCGAATGTGGATGTCAAGATTGAAGATGAGGACAAGGCGTTGCTGTTGTTGAGTTCCTTGCCCGACGAGGAATATGAGACCTTCGTTCTTACTCTGATTAATGGGAAGGCATCACTTTCGTATAGTGAAGTCACCGCTGCACTTGTGAATTATCAGCTTCGAAAGAAGGATAAGGAGGCTTCGGTTGAGCCGGTAGCGGAGGCGTTGGTCGCAAGAGGGAAGGGTCCAAACCGAAAGAATTGGAAGTCACAGTCTAGAATTGGAAAAGATCAGTGTGCTTGGTGCAAGGAGACTGGTCATTGGAAGAAAGACTGCCCAAAGCTCGACGAATGGATGAAGAATAAGCAGAAGGGAAAAGGGAAGCAACCATCATCAGAAGCAAACATCGTATCGGATGGTAATAATTCTGACTCTTCTATTTATTCGCTTTCTATCAGTCCTACAGATAGCTATTCGGAGGAATCTGAATGGATGTTGGATAGTGGTGCGACCTATCATGTGTGCCCTAGAAGGGAATGGTTCTTCAGTTTTGAGAAGCTGGTGGATAGCGGTGTGGTGTACATGGCTGATAACCGTGCATGCCAGATTCTTGGGATATGAAGAATTCGCATAAAAATGTTTGACGGGACTGTTAGAGAGATAAATGATGTGAGATATGTTCCTTCTTTGAGGAAGAACTTGATCTCGATTGGAGCTTTGGTTGGAGAGGGTCTGAAGGTTCGTGTTGAGGATATGGTTCTCGAGATTGCGAGAGACTCTCGTATTTTGATGAAGGGCGTCAGGAGAAATAACCTGTATTACTGACTTCTATTGATTCGACTAGACTGTGGCATTTGAGGCTTGGCCATTCCAGTATTGATTCCTCGCATAGATTGAAAGAGGGTGCGAAGACCTGCAGTTTGAAGTCCAATGAACATGTTGATGTGAGCAAGAAGACCGAGGTGAAGTGTAGCACCTCTATTCACCGTGCTAAGGGTCGTTCTGGAGGAGTTCACGTGGATGTTTGGGGGCCTTCCAAGGGGGCATCATTGGGAGGTAATAGGCATTTGGTTTCCTTTGTTGGTGGCTGTTCTAGGCGTGTTTGGGTTGCAACCAAATCCCCTTTGGAGAAAGTCCTAGTAGTATCCAACAGATTGAAGAAGTGTGTGATAGACAGAAAGGTAAAAGTACTCTATTCTGGTTTTGATGGGAGGTACAAGATTGACCTATTTCTGTATTGGAGCCGAGCTCACGGCATTGCGAGACACTTCGTTGGAAAGGAAATCTTGGGGCAACTAGATAGGATGACAAATTTGGAGAACCGTGCCTTGCTGGAGGAGGATCGGTGTTTGTGGTCGAGCAATGGTTTGCAGAAGAGTTTCTGGACAGAGGCTTCGACATATTTGGATCATCCTATTAAAGAGTTGTCAGCTGTTGCGATTGGAGATAAAACTCCATTGGAAGATAGGTCTGGTAGTGTCACTTTGGTTGAGGCTTCGATGAGGAAGCCAATTGACTCTCAGCAGGTGGAGAGTTTTGGACAGACCTTAGAGGTATCGCAGCGGGTGGAGAGTGATGCTACTCCACATTGGGTAAAGATTACTCCAAATCATTCTGCATTGGTTGGGATTCCAGCTGAGGTGACACAGCGTGGAAGTCATTTGGATTCGGATGCAGATGATGAGTTGGGTTTTGATTCGAGTGCAGCTGATAGATGCAGTTTAGGTATGACCATTGGTTCACCTCAGGTGGAGGTGTTTGAGACCATTGGAGGTGCTATCAGCCGCAGAGTTGATGATATTGGAGAAGGGTTGCGAACTCTTCTAGTGAATTGAGGTCGTTCGCGGCCATTTGGGTGAACTACGTTCGGCTTGATTCCTTGGGCAAGAGGATACGTAGGCAGTCTTTATGATGCAGCCGGGGTTGGATTTTGATGGGGGTGAGATCAATTTGGTGAGTAGACATCGACGTTTTGGAGAGTGTTTGCATTCTCATTTGGGTTCTCGACTTGTTATGGATTGAGTCTGTTATCGTGAATTATTTCACGGTGTACTGAACACAACAAGTGAGACATTTGGTTTGGTTGGTGTCGGCTCAGTTTTGAGAAAACTTCGCCGAGGTGGAGAATTGTGAACTAGGGAGATTTGTGCGGCTGCAGCAGTGCAAATTTGAGGAGGTGCAAAAGTGTTGGCAGCGTTCTTTTTGGACGGCGTGCAAAGAGTCCTTTTGTGCTTTTGAGAGAGATAATTGTGTGAGGGTTTAGATTGAGTGATTGTAAATCCTAGTTGTGTTATCTCTCCCTCTAATAGTAGATCTCCCCCTCCTTGCCCCGTGGACGTAGGCAGTTTGTCGAACCACGTAAATTGATTGTTTGAGTTTGTGGTCATTGTAATAGTTATTAGGATCCCTCGACAGGTCAGTCCTAGAACTGATGAGAGGAAGAGCCGATATCTCACTTGGTTGAGATATCCGCTTCAGATTCTTGTTTCCTTGGTGAGACGGGAATTCTTATCGATCTTTCTCTATTATTGTGCACCAGAAACTCTACCGAAATTTCCGCTGCGCACAACAGTTCACTGCATCCAAGCTAAAAAAGACTTGAGTTCGAGTCAATCCTCAAGTCGGACTCAGGGTCGAGTCAAAAGGCATCCTCAAGTCAGACTTTGAGTCCAAGTCAAAAGACATTCTCAAGTCGGCCAAGTCAATAAACGAGTTCAAGTCGGATTCTGAGTCAAATCTAAACTTATCAGCAAAGCTTGTCGAAGTCATAACAAAGCTCACCTGACAGAACATGTGAACTCTGCCACACAGCTCACCCCGACCCAACCCAACCCAACCGAGTCAAGAGTGGATCAACTCTCAATTTAGACTTCAGGCCAAGTCAAAAAGCGTCATTAAGTCGACCAAGTTGCGAGTTGAATTCTATGCTAAATTTGAACTCGCTAGTAAAGTTCGCCAATCAATTAATTAGTGAAATTCACTCATAGCTACCCACGTGTGCCACATCATCCACGATTCAGAAGTGATGGCTTAACCGTGCCCAAAATGAGTTTCACCCAAATAATCCACGTGGGACACATAATGAAGTTCACCGAAGCCATAGCGAAGTTTGCTGAAGCTGAAGCCACATCCAAGCTCGCAAAAGTTATAGTGAAGCTCACCCAAGCACCAACGAGCTTCGCCTAATAGCCTATGTGAGCTGTGTTACCCATTCTGGCGAAGTTTGCTCATGGTCGTTATTGACGAACTTCACCTGTGGTCAATATTAGTGAACTTCGCCTATGGCCATTATTGCTGAACCTCGCACCGTTTTCAGAAGCCACTTTTAAGGAAACGATTCATCCACTAACTCGCCCATGTAAGGGGAGTTAATGACCACTAACTCACCTATTTAAGGAGAGTTAAAGCCCACTAACTCACTCATTAATGTTCTTAAGCTTATAAACAGGTATGATCAATATGAAGTAAGGGAGCATAGGGGTGGAGGAAAGGGTCTTGGGGCTAATATTATCTTAGCTAGATCTTTATCATTGAAAAAAAAGAGAGATTCAGAGGCTACATTGACAAAAGCCCATCTCTCCATTCTCATTGATCTTCATAAATCATTATCATCGGTTAATTATTTGGCCCGATTAACTATCCTCGTGAGAAAGTATTTATTCTCTTCAGCTAGTCATCTAGCTTAGATTCGTTCGCTTCTACCTTAATCAACAGTTCTTGTAAGAAATGATCTGTTAATATCTCTTTATCCAGAGAAGATTGCGCTATCTTCCGAGGGATTAGAGATCATCAATCAGTGAAAGATCTATCATCTTAGTCGGACCGTCAACGGAGTACAAGATTGACGCTCCATCGACAAACAGAAAAGAACTTCAGGAAATATAAATTTTTTTCTTTGTTTCATTGTAGTTTGAGCTAATTACCATACGAAAGACCCGAAACACAACCAAAAGAAATTAACATTAGCAATAGACTGGGAGATCAACCTGTTAGGTCTTGGATCCAATCACAACTCATATTCATACTCCATTTCTAATACAGAACTAGACATCACCTCCCGGTGACCCTTGACTTGCACGTGTTCTACCATGTACGATATATAAATTGATGAAGCTTCATCCAGCCTAGTAACGGATGAGCCAAACACCCTGGTATTGTTAATTCTGTTCTCGCTTTTTTTTATCTACGAAGACAATAACCTTATTCTCATTTTTGTGTATGGTAATGAAGAGAGAGATTTGTATTGATCTTTCAGAGACAGCCTTGTAGAATGTGCAGTTGACTCCACCTTAGGTCCAAGTTACAGAACGACACTCGGAACCCGTAATCCTGTGATTGTATCATGTGTCTAACTTGACTTGAAGTCGATATAGAACCCATTAAGTTAAAGCTTCTAATCCAATTTCTTCACTTTGCTATCATATCCTTGGCCTTGCTCACCAGGAGTTTGAACAAGGAGATGTTAATAATAATAAAAAAACTACTTTGACCAGAAATGTTCAGCTAGAATCATATATTAAATGTTCATATTGTCTATGTTCTACATTGGACTAAATCTTACTCCAATTTCCTTGCTTCTATCAAGATACAAGACACAAGGTGAACATAATCTATCCACCTATTTGAGTGGTGATTCAATGTATCCTTAGTAATCATTGTTATTGTTTCACCTGTACCTTAGTTTTTTTTTTAATTTTCCATACTTGTAGGCTCTTCAATATATACATGTTTCGAGTGCACATATGCTAAGAGCTAATGATTTTGCATTAAAAAAATGTAACTCAAAGCAGACAAGTGGACAACATTATTAGATGTATTGACTAAATGGAGTTTTACCTTGAAACAACAGCATAGTACTTATTGAGGTCCTTAATATAATATGCTAAAAATGCATAGCCATACATATATATTTGTAAAACATCCAATTGCCATTGCTGCAGGAACGGATTATCATCACAAATGAAACAAATCTCTTTCTTGGAAGAAAACCCAGATGATGCACTAATTTCTAGAGAAGAAAGAGCATTTCGCTTATGGATTAACAGTCTTGGCATTTCAACATATATTAATAATGTATTTGAAGATCTTAGAAATGGGTAACCTAATCTTCTTATTTTCTCTTGCTAATTGAATCTATTGTGTTATTTCGAGACTCATGTATTGATACTCAACTTTTCAGTTGGGTCCTACTTGAGGCCATTGACAAAATATCTCCAGGGATCGTCTCTTGGAAGATGGCTAGCAAGCCTCCGATTAAAATGCCTTTCAGGAAAGTAGAAAATTGTAATCAAGTGGTGAAGATTGGGAAACAGCTGAAATTTTCCCTGGTTAATGTTGCTGGTAATGATATCGTGCAAGGGAACAAGAAATTGATATTAGGTAAATTCTTTTGCAATATTGACTTCTTATTAGACTTTGTTTAATAATCTTTTATTGTCTTTTGCTTTATTTATTATACTTTTAAAACTTAATGTACTTGTTTTGCAGGTTTAATTATTAGCATAAGTTGTATTATAAATGTTTGCCTATAACTTTAATGGAAAATCCTAGAGAAGTATTCGTTTTTATCTAAATCTTGCTACCTTTTTCAGCGTTTTTGTGGCAGCTGATGCGGTATAATATTCTCCAACTTTTAAAGAATTTGAAGTTCCACTCTCATGAAAAGGAGATCACAGATGCAGATATTTTGAAATGGGCTAACAATAAAGTAAAAGATTCAGGAAAAAGCTTGCGAATGGAGAGCTTTAAGGTGCATCTTTTTACATAGTTTTGTTACAAATATTAGACCCCTTGGGAATGCAAATCAATTTGGCATAAACATGATATGCACAACAGTTTCATACATATCAATCAAGATAACAGGTCTGCATGCATACAAATTTATGATCTATCACTCACATTTTGAGACAGACGAAAAGTTAAATCCTTTCAATATTTGACACATTTATCAAATATCAGCTATGTATCTATCTTGCATATTCTGTACTGTAGTAAGGCAACATAAACTGATCATTCCTAGAATATTTTTTTTATGTTATTCATGGATAAAAGTTTTCAATATCTATGTAAGGCCTTTCTGATGCACCTTGTATGCATGCATATCACAAGAAGAGGTAGGCATCAAAATCAATGACCCACATCAGTCGCTTGTTAATGCTTTGGATATTTCACATAATTCATTAAGAAATCTACTATTTATTCATGTTCCCCCATATTTAAGAGTCATATTCCTTAAAGCAATGAGGTGACATAAGCTGGTCATTCCCAAAATATTTTACTCGTATGTTATGTGCTAATAGAATAAAATACAGTGGGGAATGTTGTTGTCAATGGAGATGGACCATCATGGATTTCAATATCTATACACAAGCTTTTCTGGTGCAGCTTGTGTAGATGCATTTCTCATTTTTGCATCTCCAAATATCTCACCTTAGTAATTTGGAATGATGCATCACATAGTCTACTTTTTATTTTTGCTTTTTCACATATTGTCTCTGATATTTCAATTAGACTTAAGGAATTACTTGATTTTTATTGCTTAGTTCTCTCATGAGTTAGTTCTCTGTTTATGATTTCCATTTGTTCGGTAGATTTGTTTCAGGAATATCAGTTATACATGCTTAGCTGAGACGCAATGGTTCATTTAGAACTCTGATGTTCTTCCCTGGAAAAATGAAATGAACATGTCAAAACTTTATCAGATTCTCATTTATCAAACAATTTATGTCAGGCTTTCGATTTACATCATCTTCAAAAAAGCTTCATAAATGGCAGTTTACATCGCAAATGGAGACTCTAATGCAATTTTTGAGCTTAAGAGGTTTCTTCTCGTACTTACAGGATAAAACCCTATCAAATGGCATTTTCTTCCTTGAATTGCTCAGTGCGGTGGAACCTCGAGTTGTAAATTGGAGCCTTGTGACAAAAGGAGAGAGTGGTAATTTTCTGTCAGATTTGTGAATTTTCTCTCTTATATGACAAATCTATATAACATATGAGGTTCTTTTTTTTTTGGGCTTCTTTTTGGATATCATACAACTGATTTAGCATATATCGAAGTTCTGATTCTTGATACACTATATCTTGGTAGCATAACACATGGTAATAATGCATGCAGGCGAAGAGAAAAAGATGAATGCTACTTATATAATCTCTGTGGCAAGAAAGCTTGGATGCTCCATATTTTTGCTTCCTGAAGACATACTGGAGGTAACTTCTTCAATCAACAATGAGATATCTATCCCACATTGGGATTACTAAGATTTTTTTTTTCCTTTTTCTATTTCAGGTGAATCAAAAGATGATGCTCACATTGACAGCAAGCATTATGTACTGGCATTCCAAAAAACCAACTGAAGACAAATCTGCAGCTTCAGATAGTGATAGTGTGAGTTCATCTGAAGGAGTTTCACACTCAACCATTGATGACTCTGCATCGGAATCTTCCACAGATGATAGCTTAAGCAGATAGTTGGGCATTTTTCATCACCCAGAATTAAAAACTTACTAACCAATGTAGCTTCTGATGTATATTTTGATATTAGTTTCGGCCTGCTATAATATGCGGATGATTGTTGAAACTATTTGATTCATTGTGAGGAGGGATTGATTATAGGTTTTGCTGCTTGTTAGGACAAAGGGTGGATTGAAGATTATTTTTATACTAAATGTATGTATATGTAATAGCATGTTTTGTTTGATTAACTTCAATGGCAATTGTTTCTTCATCATCTCCCAGTCTTCAGTTTTGCTTGGTGTTTGTTTGAACTTGTCTTATGCTCCATCTTTTCCACGCAGGGCGGATATATATAGTGCTCTTGGGAGGCAGTTACACCCTCTAGAAATTCTGATAATTACCATTTAATTCTTGTAAAATTAAAATTTGTCACCCCCAAGTTTAATCAATTTGCACCAAAGTCATTATACAACCACACGAATTTGATAGCCCGTTCAAATCATATAGGCTCTCTCTATTGAATGCATTCCCATCAGGTACCATAGCTTTGTAATTCATATTTTTATTATTAAGTAAATAGATACTTATTATCTGTCCCTCCAAGAAAATTTTTCTGGAGCCACCGCAACTTCACTGGCACAGTGAAACTAATAACTTCAATCGATTTTATAATAGAATGAATGTTGTCAGTTGCTTATTTATTGGTAAATACGTTTGTCGAACTTGCTATCCTCCTACTTTGAGCTGAAAATATATTCAGACACTTAGATACATAGGTAACCCATATAAAAATATCTTAAAATTAATGCACATGCCATGAAAGAAAAATCGTTTCATCATCCATGCCTGAACCAATTGGAATCAGTCTATACACACAACTCATTCCTATAACTATTATTTTGAAAGTAATAAGTGAAAAACTTATTTCCTGAATGATGGTTGTTCAATTATAAAAATCTAAGAACAACATGTGCAGAGATATAAAATAAAAATAACACAAGGGACCAATGGAGATGGACTTAAGATGGTATAGCTTCTTTTTCTCAAAAAAAAGATGGTATAGCTTCTAAGAACTTGGTATTCCTGAGGGGGGGCAAAGAACTGAAGCTAGGCTGTTGAAAGGTAGCAAGATCCACAGAAATCAATCAAACAATAGTTTTCTTATAAGCAAGTGAAGTAGAAAGCAAAAAATTGTTTCTTCTTAAGGTCTAAGTGTCACAGATCACATTATGAATTAAAAGAATTCCTTCAAGACGCTTGGTTCATCTCAATAGACGAACCTTTCAGTTTACTTGTCAGCAATCGTGAAAATACATAAAACACTTCCCTGTTCTAAGAATAGTAAGAGCAGAAAGGAAAAAAAAATTTGATTCCAACTACAGGATATTTTGATAGAAGAAGCGCAGATCTTCATAGAATTTTGAAACTTGGATAGTTCGATATGCTGAAAAATGCTATGCCCAGTCCTTTCGAATCTCAAAGAAGTAACTGATATCCAAATAGATCTTTCCATCATCATCTACAAACTGAAACGAATACGGAAAAGTTAAGGACTAGCACCATTCAATAAGATATTTTAGAGTTTGTTCTTGTAATTATTCCTTACTTTTGTTCTAGCAGAATAGGATCCCCTTGCAAAGATACCAGAAGGAGTAGTCTCTTCTTCAAGTTCATACGTATACGGTTCTTTCTGAGGACTGAATGTTCCTAGCATCTGCTTGTTGTTCTCCACTGAAAAAATAAATCCCCACAAAAAGTAAATAATAACACAAAAGCAAAATGATATCCATGAGATACGCTCAACTGAAGATAAATCGGGTTTACATAAGAACGGAACAGCTTTTTTTACCATAATAATTTAAAATATGGTGAAATTATGCGATGTAGCTCATATTGGAGTAGTAAAATAATGTGCGTGTATAATATTTCTTTAATATTTTGACAGAAGAACTGTATTCTGAATGCAGGTAATTAAGAGATGTCCATTGTATCTGTCTAATGTCCTCCATGGAATAAAAGAGATTACTCAAAAAGTAAATAGTATAAAAAACATGAACATTATCAATTTAAAATAAAAACACTGTATCATAATTAGAAAACACCTTGTTTAGAGAGGCACTCTTGTTGACTAATTGATTTCTTCAATTATTACGGAACAATATTCTATGAGCATGGAAACACATGGAAACATTTACAGTACTCATTCTGTAAATCAGTAAATACATTCGTAGAATATATTTTCAATACTTTTCTAATAGATAACTTGCAAGGAAAACTCGTGTGGCATTGGTTTTCACTTAAGAACCAAATGTAAACACATTTGAAGTAAGAGCCATAGAATATTTAAAAAGAACAACACTTATCGTATCGCTGGTTCGAAATAGTCATCTTAGATTATTTCCTTTCTTTACAGAAATAAAAAATGTTTTTACTGCAAGTAATTAAGTTCAGGAGTACCTCTTACGCCAGCTTTCCACACAGTGTTAGTGTATCTGAGGCCTGAAACAATATTGTTGGAGACAGTGAGAGAGAACCTGAGCCTGTATTTGCTTCCATCCTTGAGAGCAAATGCAAAACCCTTAGCATTGGGGATGAAGGGAATTGGCAAAACCATATCGGGACGATCAGGGCTCACAATTGTCAGGCTCTGGATGTGTACTTCTGGCTCCAGAGTCTCTGATGTGTTCATTTCACAACACAAAAAAAATTAAAACATCAAACAGGTTTAGAAAACAAAGAATTTCCATTTTTTGTTATGATCATAGATAATTTTGAAATGAAATACGGATGACATATGTTTGACTGCTGAAATTTGATTATAAAAACAAAGTTGATATTAGTACAATCTGAGCTCACGCAATCAAGAGAAAAGCCACATGGGAATTTAGAAAATACCAGAAGAAGAAAAGGATGAAAAATGACAAATATTGCTAAAGAAGACAATACTTATCGAGGATAGATGCCATGGCATTGTCCTGGATGATACAAATGTTTTCTTACAACAGAAGTATCAGGTTCTTTCCTCCTTAAACATGTAGAGGAAATCCTCTCAATTTAGCACTGAAATGTACTGATTATTGATCAAAGGTCGCGGAAAACTATATCAGGATGCCAATGGCATATGAATAATGCTTGCATTTGTGCCTAGAGAGTAGAATCAATGGGAGAATGGTTTTGCTCTGATTCCCTATTGGGGAATGACCTTGTTGACCCCACCCCCCACAAAAAAAAAAATAGGATGGGTGGGGTCTTCGATTCATGCATATGGTGATGTGGGAGTTGAGATATACGAGACATCGTTGTAGAAAGCGAGGAATTGCATACCAATATAGAAGTAGTTGACATCAAAGTGACTGCTGATATAAAATTTTAAGAAACCAAGTGCCAACAAATGGATGGAAAATGTTAGATAATGTTATCATGTATAACAATAGAAATCTTCACCAAATGGATATCAATAACAATAACGAACCCTTTTTCCCCCTTTTTCTTTTTAATTATTTTTTTTAAATTTCGTGAGGAAAGGATTACCTCCAACATCATTGAGATCAACATTTCCAAGGAGCTGTTCCTTCCACTTCCTGAGGCTCTCATCATCCTGCCAACCAAAAATCAGAAACGCAAAAAATAAAAAGTAAAGAATTTGTCCTTGGGAGGAGGTGACACATTATTTCCTTGGTCCCATGATTTCGGGTTCAAAATTAACTTCTCATTAAACGGACGCTTGTGATTCTTCAGAAAACGAAATGAGTAACTACGAGCGCGAATCATAGAGTACATGGGCAGGTTATATATATATTTGTAACCGATCACAAATATTCCCATGAATCCCATCTGCCTACAAATAGTCAACAACTAATGCTAACCGTATATTATACCTTGTCAAGCTCTAGCTGATCCTTGAGGGCGACCGGAGGCCCAAGAACAATGGACTTGTCTTCCTCTCCTTCGTCATATCGTGCTACGGTATGAAGCGAAGACGCAGCGGAGCTGAACTTGCTGCTGAGCTTGTCGTCGCTCGCTGGCGATGTTCTCCTTGTCCTCCGCCTCTTTCGAGTGCTTCTTCTCTTCGTACAGTCATCCCTTGCTTGCTACGAGAATGTTGGGAGGTAGTAAGGCAGGAAAACAAGTATAGACCTGATTGGAGCTCACGGAGCAGAATTGTCCGAGCGATTTTGTTTGGTGTGTTTCCGGAATTTTTTTTTGTTTTTTTTTTTCGGTGGGTTGTTTTGAGAGGAGAGAGATGTTGGCTCGAAAAGTAGGACGTGAGTTTCGGCGGATTGGGAGGAGACCCGGTCAGTGTTTATTATGGATGGCCAACTTTTGTTTTGAATTTGCGGAGGTGGGAAAAGGTCCTTTTAAAGAGTGGACCCAAAAAAAAAAAGAAAAAGGGAAACAGAAAAAGGAGATGAATATAATGTGAATATCTATGAAAATAGATATATTGATTTGAATAAGAAAAGCAAATTTCACTAGTCATTTAGGAAAAGTAATCAATCGCATGAAGATTAGGGAGAGAGGTCTACCTAATAGATCTCCTATATCAAATTTAAAGTATAGAATGATTGAAATTTATTCAATCTCGACATGATCTTGACATGATGTGGGAACAAACCGTGATCAAGCTTGAACCAATTAATATCCAAACATAATTCTATAAATGATTTCTTATATTAAGTGTAGAATTTGTGAAGGTGGGAAAAGGTCTTTTAATGGAGTGGACCAAAAAAATATTAAACAGAAAAAAGGTAATGCATATAATGTCAATATCTATGCAAATGGATGTATTGATTTGAAAATAGAAAAGCAAAATTCACTAGTCATTTATGGCAAGTAATCAGTCGCATGAAGATTAGGGTGGGAGGTCTACCTAATAGATCTCCTACATTAAGTATAGAATAAAATATTTATTCGATATATCTTGACATGATACAAGAACCAACCGTGATCAACTTTGAACCTATATCCAAACCTACTTCTATTTGTGATGGCTTACAATTTGCCATATAATTGCTTACTATCAATTTTTACAAAAATGTAAAATATATAATACATTCAAGATAATTAATTCTCAAATAATCATAATCCAAGTGCATTGCTCAGAGGGCAAAGTTTTCTCAATCAACATTAATAAAATAATCAAGATTATAGCAAACTCCGACTGTCAATAAGTCCAAAATGCACAATTGTTTGCTTTAATAAATCACAATCCTCATGACAAAAAAAAAAAAAAACAAATGCCCACATCTCAAAATGCAAATGTTATGAAGAAAATTAAAAAAATTAGTAAGATATGATTCTGTCTCCATATCGGAATTCATATCTGTATCCATATTCGTATTTGTACAATAAAAAATATGGATTTTCATGTCTAAAATTTGAAATAATAGTCGTACCCGACCAAAAATCCAAAATCATAATTGTATCTGCCAATTTCAAACATTGGTTATCATATTGGCATCCGTTTTGAATACGATTACAGATCAGATTATATATATTCGAGCCATTTGCACCTCTGATGTCTATAAATAGGCGATGGATGTGACCACTCGGAAGGGAACAAATGAATATAAATTTTCTAGTTCTAAGTTTCAAATAGCCTATCCTTTCTACTTTCTTATCTTCTAAATTTCAAACGTGGATGAGAAGATATCAAATGAGTATAAGGTGATTATTTTGTTAGGCTCCTTACCCGATGAGGAGTATAATACATTCGTGCTTACTTTGTTGAATGGTAGATCTTTCATCACATATAGTAAAGTGACTAATGTTTTAACAAATTATGATTTGAGAAGGAAGGATAAAGAGTCTTCCCGAGCTAGCATTTCAGGAGAGGCCTTGTCGACGAGAGGAAGGAGTCCATATCTAAGGGTGGTAATCGAAGCAGGTCAAAGTCGAGGGGCCACCATCAATTAGCAAAGAACCAATGTGCGTTCTACCAGGAATAAGGACATTAGAGGAGAGATTTCCCCAAGCTCAGAGAGAAGGAGAATAGCAAAAAGAAGGACCCGAAGGCCAACGAGGTGAACGTTGCTAGAGGTGATGATTTTAATGATTCCTGCTTTTTTCTATTGATTACTCCAGAAGTGAACCATGCGGATGCATCAGATTGGATGTTGGATTATGGCACTACTTATCATGTGACTCCCCGACGAGATTGGTTTGTATCGTTCGAGAAACTCGATGGGGGTATGGTAGTCATGGAAAATGATCAATCCTGTGGCATTTATGGGATATGATCCGTCAGAATTCGGATGCACGATGGAGTTGTTCATTAGCTGAATGAAGTCAGATTTGTTCCTCAATTGAAAAAGAATCTTATTTCCGTTAGAACTTTGGAGACAAAGGGATTCAATATGACTTTTAAGAACGCTGTAGCAAAAGTTACTAAGGGATCTTTGGTGGTAATGAAGGAAGTCCGTAGTAGGAATTTATATCATCTGAATGGGAGTACCAAGATTGGCCAGGTAGCTTCAGTTATTTCAGAGGCGGACGCGAGCATATTTTAGCACTACAGATTAGGGCACACATGTGAAAAGTCACTGTAGACATTGTGCAAGCATGAACTATTGAATGGAGCTAAGAGTAGGAAGATAGAATTATGTGAGCATTACGTTCTTGGCAAGAAGACAAAAGTAAAGTTCAGGATAGTCGTACACAGAACGATGAACATCTTAGAATACGTGCACACAGATGTTTGGGGTCCCACCAAGACGGCATTACTTGGTAGTCAATATTGGTTTGTCACGTTTATTGATGACTATTCTAGTCGTTGTTGGGTGTACACAATGAGGAAGAAGAGTGAAGTCTTAGAGATATTTGTAGAGTGGAAGAGGAGATTAGAACTGTAGACTGAGAGAAAGATCAAGACGTTGAGATTCGACAACGGCAACGAGTACACTTCAGACCTCTTTTAGTAGCTATGTCGAGACGAGAGCATAAAGAGACACTTCACAGTTAGTCATACGCCGCAGCAGAATGGGGTGGCAGAGAAATTAAATCGGCCTTTACTGAAGAAAGTTTGATGTTTGTTATCGCAGAGTAGTTTGGAGAAGACTTTTTGGGCTGAGGCATTTTCATATGCGAGCCACCTCATTAATAGGTTGTCTTCATCTGCGATTGAGAAAAAAAAACCCCTATGGAGATATGGTCGAGAGAGCCAACACGTGATTATGATCCGTTCAAGGTATTTGGGTACCCTGTATTTTATCATGTGAAGACTAATAAATTGAAACCTTGAGAAATGCCAAATTTGTTAGATTCAAGCGTGATGTGAAAGGATACAAGCTTTGTGATCTAGTTGATAAGAAGATTGTGCTGAGTAGAGACGCCACTTTCGATAAGGTTTTGATCTTGAAGCTTCCCAGCTCTCATCAGGTGGAGAGCACCCCGACAGAGGAGATATCATAGGTGGTGGAGATTGATACAGCTTCACAGTGTCCATATGGTATCATATCTATTATGTTGGCCTTCTTATTTTGATGGTGATTTAGCAAACAATTTACATCTAATGTTGTTTGTCTAGTGTTTGTGTTTTCGTATTTATTCTAGACAAACAACGTGATGGAGGATTGGATGGAATATACGCTATAACGATGATATCCAAAGGAGGAGGAGGCATAATGATGAAGCAACGTTCATTTAAGAACACCAAATACATTAAGAAGCTTCATCCAACTCAAGCTATATCAAGACTCAAAGAATTGTATTCTATGTGAGGATATTAGCTGTTCGCGGGAAAAATCGTGTCTTTCTTTGTAATTGATTCCATTGCCATCTTAAATAACAGCTTTTTGAGTTACAAAGATCCGGTCTTTTTATAAGATCCGGTTACAATGAAAATCAAAGAAAATAAAAGAAAGATTATAACTTTTTATCCTTGTTTGTCGAACAAATCACGAGCTCCTATTTTGCGGTCGCTCGCTTTGTGGGTTCTTCGCCTGCGCCGGGGTTTATCCGTGGACCACCGCACGATCTAGATCCGGTCGGATCTACGCAGTACGACGGGTACTATTTCACGAAGAAAATAATAGCCGGGGGGGATTGATTCCAAATGCGAATGGATGTATTTCGTTTCTTGCGTGCGATTCGTCGATCTCGTCGCCTCGTTGGTTCGTCGGTTTGTGCCGAGCTATGCTAGGGGACCTATAAGCAATTTTATATGCCTACAGATACCCCCTCCAAAGTATTTCAGCCTCGTTCTTTTATAGAAGAGTCTGGAATACTTTGGATATGATTGTCCCAACCTTCAGTCGGTGTAACGGGACCTTGGAATGGCTTCTGTTCTTGATTCCTTCAATCCTCCAGGCTATTCGGTGCTTTGTCGAATGTCTGTAAGAGTTCCGGTGCTGCATTTATTGTCTGACCGTTGTCGGAATTTTAAACTTGAAGTCGATTCCTAATTTTCTAATCTTTAGCTCGTGTTTGTTGGTTCAACATAGAACTGACCATCGATTGCTGGCGTTGAGTCTTTATTTGCGACGCGTTGTCCGGCGTAGTATTGTTGAGTTATCCTTAAGAATATTTACAAAAATATTCTCCAGAAACTTCTCAACCAAAAATAGGGAATAGTTTATACTCATATACCTTATTGGAGTATTAAGAAGCAGTTTATACTCGTATACTTTTCGGAGTATTGATTCTTTCATTGCAACGCATTGATCGGCGTTGACCTAGGGTTACGCGTTGACCGACATTGACCCTAGGGTTTCGAATGTCGTACGTTGACTGTTTGGTCGCAACACGTTGACTGGTGTTGACCTAGGGTTACGCGTTATCCGGCGTTAACCTTAGGGTTTTGAATGTCGTACGTTGACTGTTTGATCGCAACGCGTTGAGCGGCGTTGACCTAAGGTTACGCGTTGTCCGGCGTTAACCTTAGGGTTTTGAACGTCGTACGTTGACTGTTTGATCGCAACACGTTGAGCGGCGTTGACCTAAGGTTACGCGTTGTCCGGCGTTAACCTTAGGGTTTTGAACGTCGTACGTTGACTTTTTGATCGCAACGCATTGACTGACGTTGACCTAGGGTTACGCGTTGTTCGGCGTTGACCCTAGGGTTTCGAATGTCGTTGGATGCTCAAGTCACGCGACCAACTAATGAAGCTGATGCGTCAGTGACTCTCGTATTTATAGGATTTTTGGCAAACCCTCAGCCATCAACGGGTTTGATAAGCCTTTACCGACTACCGTTTGAGTTGGGCTAGCATGCGGATTGTCTTAATCCGTTCCGCATGTGACGTTGTGCTAAGAGAGTTAACGCTCTTAGTACTACGATATTGAATACGCAGACTTCGTCTTTCTCATGGGAATAGACTACCCGGCGACGCGTGTTAGGCATTGACTTTAGGATTTTTGGCTAACCTCCAGCCTTCAATGGATTTGATTAGCCTTTACCGACTACCGTTTGAGTCGGGCTAGCATGCAGATTGTCTAAATCCGTTCCGCATGTAACGTTGTGCTAAGAGAGTGAATTCTCTGAGACTTTGTGCTATGATGTTGAATACATAGGCTTCGCCATTGTTACGGGAATAGGCTACCCCGGAACGTGTATTAGACGTTGACTTATCCCTACTTAGGCTTCGGGATGAGATACCCCAGAATCGAACTCTGGTGTCTTTTTCAATCGGTAAAAGACTAAACCGGCGACGCGTGTTAGGCGTCGGCATATCCTTTCTTAGGATTCAGGATGAAATTCCCCATGCGTGTAAGGCATGGATTTTGGTGTTATTAATAACAACCTGCCACAATGTTGAATATGCGGACGGGTGTTCTTTTTAACGGTTAAGAACTAACCGGCAGCACGGGTTAAGCGCAGACTTATCCTTGCTTAGGTTTTAGGATATAATACCTCAGAATTGAACTCTGGTGTCTTTTTCTAAGGAAAAAAGACTAAACCGGCAGCGCGTGTTAGGCGCAGACTTATCACTGCTTAGGATTCAGGATATAATACCCCAGAATTGAACTCTGGTGTCTTTTTCTACGGAAAAAAACTAAACCGGCAGCG